CATCTACTGAGATTATTTGGGTATACTGTCAATATCAAAGGTTATATAGTTAACCACACAAAATTTGTTTTGTAATGGTTATAATTGTTAGCGTTTTATGGCAGTTATATAATATGCAGCGCAAAATCCATTTCAATTTGAAGAGTGATATGAACATGGAGAGATGAAAGAACTTTTAAATGTGTCCATCATCACAGGTTTTGCAATATCATATTCTTATATACACGAGTAGTTAATACAATATTATAGGTACAATTTCCCGGTCCAACGATCTTTCTATGATTGTGAGATTAATAACGAGGCGTTTTTGCATACTAATGAGGCTTATTACATAAGAGACGTGAATATAAAGTTGGTTAAGTACGTCACGAAATACGATATGAGTAAGTCAAATCATTACAGGAAGTATAAAATTATCCTCGGGGGCGGAGCTACGTCACAGACGTTCCACGTTGCTTAAACGCACACCACTGTACCATGTATTTCTATGGGCTCTGCGCGCGCTGCTGAGAAACGCGGAACGCCGAGCGAAGAGCCGGTGAAAATTTTAGAAAAAGACATGAACTCAACTTTGAAGTAATCCTAAACAATCAAATTTATATGCGTTACACACCCAGTGGTAATCTTGTTACACTGTTTAGAGGGAGTCTAAAAAAACATCCCAAAGTACCGTTTTCTGAGAGATTTCGGCCTCTGTTTTCACCGTGATGGTTACCATGCGGTGAAAATGCCCGGATGTCCGCCTCCGAGATTTAAAACATTTCTTAACGCCGCGAAATACGATATAAATAAGAAAAAAATCGATTAAACAACTTGTTCATACTATATGTCGTATGATTTCAGATATTTGAGAATTCATTTGATGTGAAGGTAATGATTAATCTCGGGCGGAGTTCATAAATCTTTGTTTCATCATCTCAACTACCGAATCTGACAACCAATGCATTTCTTTGGATAATATGGCGAAATTGCCTACAAATTTTATCCAATGGATTGATCGTTTCTATAAAGAGAAAAAAAGAAATATATTTAATACAGTAACACGTCACAGTTTACATTTAACAGCATATTTACAGAATTCGTTTTTGAATTGTTTACATAAATTTCATGCATAACGCTGGTGACCCCAGGTGAAGTTTCATTTGTGGTGAACGTTTGTAAGTAATTACGTTTATGTATTTCGAGAATCTTTCTTCTCATTATTTACAAGTGACATGATATATATATTTACCTGATCGCTGATTCGAATGAATAGTTATATTTTTTTACTACCTGAAATGGGATAAGGGAAAACTAACGCCGCTTTTTGTAGGATAACCTTGAAAGTATCCTTGTATACTGACATAAATAATTCCAAAAAATGAATGTACTGTAACGTAGCAATTTCTTTGTCGGTGAATACGTCTTCTTGCAGAAGAATCGGCAGCACTAAAACAAGTGGGACATTTGCTGGTCGATGTTGTTGAACTGCATACGTTTACTTTGTGTAGGTTATTTAATTTGGATTAAGTGATTTGTTTGGATCACGCCAACTGTATAAAACAAGAGATGCTCACAGGAAGGTACATGTTCAGTTTATTGTTCCCGAGCTTGGGCATACATTGCAGAGATATTGAGAGACTAGTTTTTTCAAGGCAACCATGTTATACACATAATATGCTCCTGGGAAGACGTTTTGCTTAGTTCAATGACTTGAGAGACTTTTTGATATTTTGGTTTAAACATATGCAGTTTATTTACGAGTGCATTTTAGTTTATATTCAAAATAAGCTGTAAACTTTGAGTGCAAGTGTATGTGCAGAATGATTTTTTTAAGACCCGTGACAACAATAATACATGGCGAAGCGATCTCTCCTAATAAGCTGATGTGTCCTCTACCATTAAACGAAGGTAATTAGTTCATTTCCCGCTTTTTCTTGTAATAAAAAAAAACACTCGTCAATTATTCAGGATATGTTGTAGTTGTTCAATGCAATAGTTTTTCTTCATTTGTGTTGTCAATTATGAGATACCGGTGACAGAAGGGTGTGTTTTTCAAACTTATTTGAGCACCAAGAAAGGATTGTTAGTGAATGTTGTTTTTACTGATGTATAAAATAGTGTTCTATCAAAACAGTTTTACAGCCCGTGCTAATCATCTAGAGTATTTTTGTATAACATCATAATCATGTTTCAAACACTTACTAAGCATTTAAAAATGTAAAATATAGTGTAGGAAATGTACTGAAGTGCTGTCAATGGGAGAGATAAGGCGTCAAATCATCATTTGTTGCTGCAAATCAATTATAGTAATGCATGCCTGTAATTTATAAGTTGACTCTATGTAGTGTGTTCGCGCTGAGTTGAGAGTGATAAATGTTTTAACTGATCAACATACAGA